ATACAAATTTCCTACACTGACTGGGTACAAAGCACAGCGCGGGGGGGGGGGGGGGACCGCTACCTATGACAACGCTCTGCAGAGTGACAAGGATGATAAAGTACATGACAAATCACTGGCTGACAGGGTACTCTAGTGCAATCAGCCTCAGCCTCGGCCTAGCGAGCACCCACTCAAGCCTGTAAACACTACTCTCTTCCTTTAGAGGGGGCAAAACACATAATCTTTTAACGCTGACAAGTTGCTCTCTCCTTTTTATTACTCATCCTTCCCACTGCGGTGGAAAGAGGGAGGGTTGGGGGGGGGGGGGGATAAAATGGTTTTATGTACAGCGCTGCCGAGTGATTGAGAAACTCGACTCTTCTGCTGTAATTGCCTGAGGGCGAACACAGCAACACAATAAAGGAAGAGAAACAGCAAATATATTACCAGTTCAGATCTTTATTTTATGTCAAGGACAAACAGGTTCTCTCGGCTGCTCTAAAGCACCCATTTAGATCGCTCGCCTCCAATAAGAGGAAAGCACGGCAAATTACAGCACTCTGTTGCATGGCCATTAATAAGACGCAAAAGGTTTTCAAAATGGCATTTACAGCGCGGCTGCTGATAGAGCGAGTAAATAACACTTAGGAAAGGTGTGGTCGCTATAAAAAAAAAGCCCAGGGGCATGGGAAAGAGAAATAAAAAAGTGACAGCGTGATAAAGTCCTGCAGATTACAACACGGAGTCATTGTCTTCACCAAAGTAACACGACGACAAACAGTTAAGCTGGAGAAAGCACTTGAGCACTAGCAGATATTCATACTGAGCTGTTTGATTGGCACTTTAAAGGTGCCATTTACGAGCATAAAAATCACTTAAGCGTTAGCAAGTCCAGACAGAGCAGGAACCTGAGCGCTCTTGACAATATTACAAAGACTGCTGAGACGAGGTGCAGATATTTGCCGCTGTTAAGATTCTAATCAGAAATGATTCATGGAAAGTGAATGTTTCAGTGCATACATTTTTGAAAAGGACAATTCAAATTAGAGGCACTTATGTTCATAAAGAATTTTTCTGATAGTGTACATACTTTCCCTCAAAGGATTTAGAGAGTTCTTCCTCTGGAGCATACACATGTTGAGGCTGTGGGATGTTTCACAGCCCCCCCCCCCTAAAAGGCCTCAGATGGTGGGGAACTGTTGGCGTTAACTACACCATGAAACCAGGCGATGTTATTGGAGCTTTGGTGGATGCACATGAAGGACACCTGAGGCTGCGGAGCTCATTTTTTTTGTGTGCCTTCCTGCCAGCAAAGCGGAGCATCGTAACTGGGAACAAGCTGCTCCAAATGAACAGGCCAGCCCCGCCTGGACCTAATGAAAATGACCACCTGATCCTGCCTGGATCCAACAAAAGGGTGTGAGAGTGTAGAGAGCACATTTTGATGACGGTCCAGGTTTCAGGAGTGGAAGATGGGCCAAGCCGCACGACAGCGACAGAGGCACGCGGACATCCTCGCCAGCAAAAGCTTGGAGAGGTTTTTGGCCTCTCAGCAGGCCTTTTTGCCTGACTCCTAAGTGGCCCAGTAAAGGATGAAAGACGGCAATTCATCCCATTTTACACTTGCAACATAAGAATGAAATGACCTGTAGATGTAGATGACTGCAATAATAACTGTAATAAGGAATCAGACATGTAAAGATGCACAATCGACACATTATAAAATATTAAATGACGCATACAAAAGGTATTTATGTCACATTTCTCACACACAGTGTTTACCTTTAAAGCAGAAGTATTCACCTTTCCCTTGTCATCATCTGAGCTCTGATTAGACCACTTGATACTGGCAGAGGGAAATGAAGACCAATGGTAATGGGGGGCCGTAGCAGAGATGCTAATGATAATGCATACAGAGCTAATAATACCCGTGTTGTGTGACGAGCGGCTGCAGCGAGCCTGCCTCCTACCTGTCTCCCACTATGCCATTATCCTGTCATGTTGGCGAGGGCCCGTCCTACAGGTCACTTTATAATGAGCAAATGCTCTGACAGTTTCCGACACGCTCGCACACAAACACACCGGCAGGACTGTGTGCACACATACCCTGAGATGCGAATAGCTGTCTCTTATCAGAGTCTGGCAGCTCCAGCCGACACGGCAGAGGCCTTCTACATCGAGCAGAACATGATTTCTCCTGGGAACACTTTTTCCATTTCCCTGCTTTTGAAGGGGGAACCAAATAAGCCACGTTCGTCCTCATCTGAATACATTTGACCCATTAAAACGACTCTGCTCTCCCGCGTCCTTCTGCGCTGCCACGTTGTAAAGACAAAGTGTTGTAAAACCCGCAGAATGCAGACGACAACGGTGGCGGTGGTCGTAGTGTGCCTGGCAAGTTCAGATAGCGGTGGAGGTGGCGTGGACTGAGGGGGGGGGGGGGGTGAAAGTGTTGAGCTCCAATTACTCCCTCACATTGAGGAGGAACACATGAGTCAGCCCCTGTCATAGGGGTCCCCTATTTACTAATTCACTCCTCTGTTACTTTAACACACAATTAATCAATGACAGGAAGGTGTAGTCGGAGCTGTTCATCAGGAGCGTAACGTGAGCCAGGGTGAATTAATACAGTCACTGGGGGCCGGATAACAGCTTACCGTGCTCTCCCTCTCTTCCTGAAACAAAAAGGAATTGCCACCGAGACAGGAGCAATTTAAATCGACAACACTGAGTAATGACTCAATTTGCTGCACAGTCTAAACACCACAAGCAAATGGCATTACTAAATCATTAGAGTGGATCTAGATCTCTGGTTAGAAGTCATTGGATGATATGGCTGCTCTTACAGTCTGTGAGTTACGCTCAAACTGTGAATACCTGCATATTATAAATGGAACTGCACAGAATACTAAAAACGATCTTGCAGATACTTACAGTAGAAGCACTCGGATATTATAATGCATCATTTTAGCTTTCACCAAATGTGGCAGCCATTATTAAAAAGGTACAGCTGTACTTTCTAAAACAAACAACGTAGGTATACTACAATGGGGAGGGAGGTAATATTCAGAAAAAAAAATATCTGAATAGCCAAGATCAAAGTGGCAAATTCACAAGAAAAAAAAAAAATCACAAATTTACGAGAACAAACTTGAATACTCTGAGATTAAAAAGTCACAAAATTATAAGGAAAAAGTTGTGTTCCTTTTGTGAAGAAACAACAGTGCTTCACTTGTTCCGATCAATGTATCCGGGCCGTGTCGCAGGAACCTCTCCCCAGCAAACTCTAAGGACATAATTCACCATAATCTGTGGTTCAACACAAGCAGGTATGTTATGAGCATTTCCTGTGTTGTTTCCCCTTTACACCGACACAGTGACCGTGTGTAACTACGGTGTTAGCTGGGCAGAAATAAAGAAACACGCCTTTGTATAGTCAAAGTGGATATCTCTACTGTCCTATAACTTCTGAAATATCACTATTTATATATGTTCATAAAAGAACATACAGAGGCCGTCTGTCAGAGAGCACATCAGAAACAGCAATGTTTATCTGATAAGCCAAAGTAAAACGTACAACAGCTTTAACATGAGGATAAAGTACAATGCATACCAATGTCAGCATTATGTTAATAAAAAACGTAAAAAGAAAACCTGTATATGTATGTTTCAGGACCTTCGCCTCGCTCAGAGGCGATCCTTACCATAACAACACTACTTTAGGAGCAACAAAATGTATACCGCAGAGTTTTCTTCTTGTTTCTCTGAATATTGCCCTCCTCCCCGGACTCTATTATTATATATTTTACCTAAAAATGCAAAAAATAAACAGGCTTAACTTGACACCTTCCAGAGACAGCTGAGCTGATAGTGAAAATAAGGGAGAGATTCTGCTCTAGACTGCAGGAAACCTCTGGAATTTAGTGACCTTTTCTGTAATTCCACCAAACCTGGTTCAGCTCCTCAAAACTAATCTGACCATTTCTAGTGAAAACTTTAACAATTTAATTACACGACCCAATATCCTCATGATACTTAAGTCACAATACAGTCTGAGTGTGATTTTAAATGCAGAGCATTGCAATAACATGTATTGCGATATAATGTTTTACTGCTAATTATCCAGTTTGTCAACATCGGTCAACTTTTCACTCGGTTCATCTCACTTCACACGTTTGTATTGCAGCAAAATGGTTTTACCAGTCAAGCAGACAGACTGACCAACACTGTCACAAATGTTGCATCATGCACCTGACAAACTGAACGGTTAGCATTAGTCTACATAATCCAAGCCCACTGACTCAACCCGTGACCACACCAGAAAAAACTCTCCAGCCTCGAATAGACTAGCAATTGTTACCAAAAGGTTTTATTTGTACGTGCAATATTAATAGTTTCAATAATAAAGATTGATTCTTGGCGTAAGTATGTCAAAACAATATTGCCGTGCTAAATATTGCGATACTATGCAGTATCCATTTCCCTTAGCTTTAAACCTGGAGAACTTGTTTGTTGGAGACCAATGTGGTTCCCTGGAAATGTTTCATTTATTTATTTATTTTTTTGTAAAATTGCCAGAAAAGTGTGATAACAAAACCATGAACCTGTGCGGTAGGAGGTGTGGGAAGCAATGATTGTGTTAATGTACCTCTAGAGTGCGTCTCAAAAACAGACTGGCAGACAAAAGAAGATGAGACAGATAGACAGATATGACACAAGGTACGTAATACTGAGATATGGAAGTGCTCGGCTTTAAGCAAAAGAAAGCCTGGCTGTCACAGCAGTCTCATTTAAATGTCATCAAAATCCTAAAAACCCAGAACAGCTTGATTTAGATTTTGCACATCATTAAACCATTTATAATTAATGTGCAGCTAATTAAGGCTTTCTCATAGTTATTAACACAATGTTTCATTCTAATTACATTACATTCTCAGCCTTAAAGAAAGCCGAATATTTGAATCTTATTGAAGCCCAATAAAGGATGTCTGAAAAATGTCAGTGAATGTTAGGCTTACCTTGTCGTCTTGGTCGCTCTCGGTGTCACACTGCAAAAAACACAACAAAGAGAAAGTTAAAGCTGAGAATGAGGAATAACATGTCTACATTCTTGTTTCATAACTGTCCCTGATTCCATTTCCACACGCGTGGGTGTCATAATCTAATTTACTTTTGCGAACGGCATATCTTATCTCTTTAATGACGAACTTATCACATACTCATATTCATATTCAGTGTCTGAATATCACCAGATCACTTCATTAGCTGACACGAGCACCAGCATGCCAAACAAAGCTAATTTCTCATGAGCAGCAGTGCCCTTGTTAACATTGAAACCTATGTGAGATTCAGACGGAGCTGGAATCTGCAAACACCATCCGCCACCAGAGTTATAATTCTGTGATGCGTGTTCCTGCTTGAGGCTGGGAATGGAGAAATGACAAGAGGAGGAAGGAAACTTTGTAATGGAGGGAGGAAAAAAATTTTTCTTTCCAATTTCAATTTCAAGGTCCGCTTAATTCTTTATCAACTAATTAGTGTGATGCTGGGTGACTGGCGGCCCTCAACGTTGTGCATATGGCTGAGGTGCAGAGAAGCACTGGAGTCGGTAATGAAGAAGGCACTGGGGGGGAATATGGGCAGGGGTTGGCACAGTGTGTGTGTGTGTAGGCAGGGGGGCAGGGAGAGGTTGGTGGGTGTCGATTAAAGTAGGGAGGGAGTGGAAGGAAGGGGGTGAAATGATTGACAGCCCAGGGATTGAGCGACAGAAGGCCCTGCCGTTTTTTCTCTCTCTCCCCCCATTTTTTTTGTTTCCATCTCGTGTTTTTTGCTGATCTGGAGCCCTGCAGATCTCAAAGGTAGGTGGGCTGGTCTCGTGGCTGGTCTGTTTCTGAGGCTGGACGGTGAAAAAAAAAGGGGGCCTTGCGAGCTCAGCAGGAACATAGCATCCAATTTACAGGCCTGTCCCACACGGCCCCAGGGGCCGCCCGCGGCACACTGCCATGATGGTCAGCTCCAGCAGCTCATAAATTATGCAGAGGCAATAAACGCACTGGGCAAACACTCAGACGTTTCCCTCGCTCTCCATTTCTCTCTCGCTCTCCTTCTCCACAACATACCATCCCCCATTTTAATACAGTGTGCAGAGAGCCAGCAGCCCCAAACGATTGTCAGCTGGAAGAAAAAACAAGGGTAATGCAAGACGAGTGAAGATTGTGATTAAATGTGAATGTCTGTATAATACAAAAAGCTGCACACTGTGTGCATTCCAGCTCGTGAATAAACAGGCGTGTCGGCCACGTATCGCTCTCTCTCCCGCACAGGACTGACTAATGCGGCAGCAGACGAGATCTGATGAGCAGTATTAGCCATCTCAACTGCTTCCATGTATTCAGGCCTCTCAGAATGTGACAAGAGTAATGCGACGGAGTACTCATTAGCTGCTTCTCTGCCTGTGCACACTACACACCCGGGAACACAAGCACGCGAGGGTTCGAATAATGGACATCATTTGAGTTTTTCCACTGTGTTGTGATCCATGAAAAAACTCTACCAGCCTTTCTTTCTCGGGTTCCCTTTCTATTTTTTTCTTCTCCCCGCTCTCCCTCCTTTCCGTGTTCGCTAGCTGTGCAGCCAATTGCTTTGATTGCCGAGATAGAAGCCGGCTGGAATGACTTGCCCTTGCTTGTGAAGCAAATGGAACATGCTAATGGAACTCATCGTATTACCCGATGCAAAAGTGCCATAGCTCATTACTTTAAGATAAAAGGATATCATTGTAGACGGCAAGCAGAATTGACTTTCTGTGCTGCGACTTGATGATGATTTAATCAACTGCTCTCTTTCACTTCTCATCCCTGCGCCTGTCGCTTTCGCAGGTGCCACTAAACGAAGCACTCACACGGCTAGTGGGGGAGAGAAAAAGGAAAGAAATTGCTGTCATTATTTTTTTCTCCCAAGGAATAGAGGTATGCAAATTTCCCAGAGCGACAAAGGGTGGGAAAAAAAAGGGAAAACTTAATAAAATGGAAATACCTTTATAATGAGCAAAGTAAAAAATCCCGAGATCAGGCCTGACAGGCGAGGGCAGGCAATTTGATCGTCCTCACAATGCAGACGCCAAAGCTCCGTTGAACTCGCTGCTCGAGTACAGAGCAAGAAGTAACAAATAATAACACCTCTAAAAGATAAAAAACACATCCCAGGCATACAAACAAGTCAGAGCTGTCACTCACTGATAGGTGATCATAGTGAACTAATGCGCTGCCTCATGCATAAAGCGACCTGAGGCGGGGGAGAAGAATCCCTGCATATCTGGAATGTCTTCCCGCCTTCGTATTTCTACTCATTGACTCGTGCATTACAAACGGAGACGGAAAGCTAGAAAGTCTCGGCTTTGCAATTGGAAACGCCATGAATGAATGGTACACCTCATTAATAACTGAGGCACGGTATTGTTTTAGGAGGTAAGCATGAGCTCCAACATTCGGTTATTGCTACTGACGGTTGAGTATATAAATCTGCAGCGCTATGGTTAACTGTAATGTCAAAAACACTTCACAGTGATTCTAGGAGGCCATGTCTAATGAAAAGACATATGTCAGAAGTTTAAAATGACTTTCAAAAATGAACAGTTTATACCGAAGAGAGAAAAAAAAACACAACAACAATGGTGCTATTGAGATCAGTGGAGTTAGCTCCCTGACAGGCGGTCGGAAATGGGTCTTATTTAAAGCAACAGTCAAGAACAATAAGGAAACCATTAGTCCTGGGAGGGGGCTGACAGAGAAAAGTGATCCTCTACCCAGGCCCTCTGCTGTTTACACAGGGCCGGCATTATACTGTACAGCGAGACCCCAGTGTTAAGTTTAAGTAACACAAGAATGTCAAACATTAGCGTCAGCCCTAAGAGCTGTTGATGTTGGCCTGTATCTGGAGCACTTCTGATTGCCGCTCTGCTCTCACACGGGCCTCTTTTTTGGCTGAGTGCTCTTACAAATTTCCATATGCTCCGTCCAAGCATCGAGCCTTTTGTTTATATTGGTCTGAAAGTAGGAGTCAATTATTCTTGTCCTAAATCCTCTCCAGCTGAGAGTAATACTGGCCCAATACAAAGGGAACACGAGGAGCCGTGGGTCGAATGCTAAACGATGCAGCTATGCTATCGTCCATAGCAGCAGGGCTCACCAACGTCTCCTGCTAGAGCTACCCGCAGAAAATCCTCTGTGTTGAAAAGGTAACCACATCACACAGGCATGCGTGCAAGGCAAGTATGCCATGTTCCCTTTTCCAACATACCCTTCTGGAAATCCTCTGGTCCACAAATACTAACAGATGTTAAGTCGAAAAACGAAAAAATGACATGCATAAGCGATAATTGTGAAGGCAAAGAGTGTGTGTTTATCGGGCTTATCATGTTGTGTCCGCTGTCTCTGGTGTTTCAAGTTGTCTCTAATCTAATACTTTCAGAAATGGCATCCTCTTAGGCCGGGATGTGTGATGGATGCGTATTGTCGCCCCCCATGTGTGACATTAGCCTCAGGTTATGCTGGTTGCTATCCATGACCTTAGAATTAATTATGGCAGATATGGGCTTCATTAAAGCACCCCGCTGCACAGAGGATGGTGTCTGTTTATCAGCCTGAGCCAGGTTGTCCTGCAGGAAGGCTGAAGGGGTTAAAGCCCAGGGAGGAAGCCAAACTGCCTGCATGCCTGGGAGCTGGAGAGACAGCATGAAGGATGGCAGCCATTGCCAGGGTCAGCTATGACAGTGCCAATTTGATGTGCTGTCGTGAAGGGCTCCCCATTCCCTCCTCCTAACAGCTCCTTCCTGATATAGCTGCGCGTCCTGATGGTTTTCTGATGCAAACAGTCGCATGGCAAAATGGTTTTCTCCCCTCCCGCCGCATCCTCCTCCATCTGCTGCTGGGGCCTGGGTGCCGCCGACCGCCTGCCTGTCACAGCGTGCGTGGAAATTAGCTGGGGAGGAGGTGCTCGCTTGTGCTAATTACATTTTAATCATTGGAAATGTGTTGGCAAATCAAGCCTTGATTGCCATCTTGGAGCCCAGTGCTCCTCTCTGCAGGTTGGGTTGTGGGGCGGGGGTTTGTGGGCCTAGAATGTGGCTGAGCCCGGGGCTCGCCGAGCTGGACGCATCGCACTCCACCACGGCTTGATATGGCGGCATGCCTGGCCTGCCGCTGGGTAGAGGCTGTGCCGTATTATTCATGGAGAATAGAGGGAGACTAGCATGGCGAAATGTGCCACGCTTATTCTCCAATCCCCCGCTCACACCTCCCGTATCCTTCTCTCTTTCTCACCCACACATTACACAGTCTGCCAGTCCCGCCACTGTGAATTGAGGAACAACAAATAGAGTCGGGCAGGAGGAGACTGATGAGCTCAGGGTTTGCTACACAGCACCTGCTTTGGCACACAAAGCTGCAGCAGCAGGCCCCATCACAATACGCTCACAGATTACTTTCTTATAATATATATACAGAAATGAAAAGAGAAACTTGGCTACATCAAATTTGAACTTTTCCAGAGAAAATCTGAATAATCTTGATGGATACGGTCGATACATGTTGCTGGATAGACCTTCTGTTAAAAAGCCCCTTCTCCTTGGTCAGATACCGACTGGCACTATTCTTCAGGTTTGAGTGTGAAACACTCCCACGGCCAAACAAACAGTATGACTTCACACTGTAGTGAGCCTCAAAAGAACTAGAATGAAGACCAGCAGACACACATTTCATATAAAAGAAAGAGAGATCCATAAAAGAAAGCTAAGCAAATACACCAAAAAGTTCAGTGAGTGGAAGGAAATTCAACATGTCATGTCTGACTGGGACAGATCATTTAAATAAGCAGAGCTCTGAGGCGATGACATCCAACGTCTAATTTCCACAGCATCTGTTTGATGTCGAACTGTCATATGAAAGTATGGCAGGAAGGAGTAGACCTCAAATAATCACCAGGAAAAGAAAACAGCACAGCTTGAGTGTTTGAGACAGTCTATACAGTCACATAAGGCAAACGCCTCTTT